GAAACAGTTTTTGAAAAATCAAATTAAGAAAACACTAGGGTTCCACCATCACCTAGCAATCCTATGAACTTTAACCAATTACTTATGATCTACATGTTAGGTTTTCCTAATTTATATTCTACTTGGAACCTCCAACATAGAACATATATCTAACTTGCAACCTGTCCGAACGTTCGGATCAAATCTGAACATGAAAGACTCATTATGCTTTATGAAAACCCTTTGAAAAACCATGCAATCCTTAAGACGTGGTGTTCATCCTAAGTGAAATTACAATTATTAATCACAAGAAGCCAGCATCAATTTCAGGGAACCTTCCGACCAAAATTGCATCAAATTACTGTTCTAAAAATTCTAATGGTGATCAGGCATTAAGACAATTAGATAGTTTTTATCCCGGTGATTAACAATTCAAAGTATGCATGCAATCAATCATAAGCAATTAAATAAAAATCACATATTCATGCTAAGGCTCAAGGTTTCGCCCTAACAAAAGAAATTAGTTACACATATTCATAATTAAAATCATAGAAAATATATTTAGAAAATGATTGAAATCACCTTCAAGTAGAAAATCTCCAAAACCCTAGCAATTCTCTCTGTCTCCAAAATTGCATAAAATAAAGTGTAGAGAAAATTGTAGATGGCCAAGCAATCAATCTGCTAAGCCCCCCACACAAACCCTAAAAACAGGTCCTTTATTCCCACTAGGAAACTAAAAATAATAATAAAATAAAATAGGAAACATAACCCTAAATTAAATGGTAAAATTTGCCTAAAATCTGAACAGCCACGTTTTGGACCCATAAGCTGCTCCAAAACTAGCCCAATATAGCTGGATTTAATGTTTGGAATATTCTAAACAGTTCTCCATAAGGCTACGAATCCATCCGAGGTCATCTTGGGCTCCAAAAATGCAATTTAAGCCCAAAAACGTCATTTTCCAGCACTGCGCATCGCTCCTTTATTTTATTACCAGAAAATAACTGTTTAGTGGAAAAATCCCAAATTTTGATACGATCAAGCTAAGTGACTCACAAACGTCCTCCAACTAGAATTACTCCAAAATTTGTGCATTTGGTTATGTTTTGCTCCAGAGGAAGTCGAAAGTCCTATATTGAAAATATTAACCACAATATACTAAGAATAGGGTAAAATATATAATATAAAATCTACTCATCATCATGCATTGCTTCAAGTTGCCTTCGACATAATAGAAGAAGAAATGGGGCGACCCCTCGAAGCTGTTTTTAGTAAAGTTTTATGATTTTTTATTAGGGTTCAAAGTCTGAATCCAAGTCTTGATCGAAATGGGAATGGGAGAACCAATTTCAGTTAAATTATCTTCCTTTTTTAAATTTTCAAATTTTATTTTATCTTTAATACTAGTTAAAATCCACATAAGCATCCATGTCATTTAATAAATAAGAACCATTGGATGTCATGTAATCAAAAGGCTTAAAAAGAATGTAAAAGTATTTGTCCCTTGATCCTATCCTATATATATAAAGTGAGAAGGATAAAAAGGTGAAACATTCAAAATACAAAAAATTGTCCTTCAAGAATTCTAAAAATTACAATTGAACCATAAGAATTTAAAGTAATTCACCACATTTTAATTTTGGATGAATTTTAAATTTATAAATTTAATTAAAAAAACTCCCATGTTAGTGGGTGGTTTCATGGTTTTGCTTCATTTTTTTTTAATAATTTTTGAATAAAAATATAAAATAGTTATTTAAAAAAATTAAAAGACTTAATCTAATATTAAAATGTCAATTGCCACACGCATATGCGTATGGCAAGAAGCTAGCATTTATTACCCATGGTCCATGGGTCCACTATTTAAGATTAATAGAATTATTTTTAAGTAGTGGTCTTGCCCAGGCTAATCTATTGTATCGTCTTAAACTTTTACTACAATAATTGATTTTAGGACATACATTCGAGTTCCAATAATTTCTCACTTGCACTAAAAATTAATTAGTGTCATTAAACCAATGACAAACATACCAAAATTTTCAAATTGCTAACATAAGAAGTATGATAAAAGCAATGGATTTGCACGTCGTCATTGGAATAGAGCGTGAGTAAACCATCAATGATGAATGCATATAGAGAAAACACATCTATGAAGGACGAAGAGAGAATATGTTAAAGAAAATATTGTCTTAATAATGTGTTACAGAACAAAAAAAATGATCTTCTATCAAGAATATTGTTATTCTTTTCAACTTTGATTGTAGTTGTAGTGGAAATACTGTGAAATTAATTAATAGTATAAAGTATAGATATATTTGGTAAGTACATCTTCAGCACTATTTTCGGAAGTCTATTAATGAAATAGTATAGAGTATTAGCTAAAATGGTTCCTGAGATTTGCATAACACATCACTTTAATTCCTGAGATTGAAAATCAATATAAAACCATAAGAAATCAAGGGAGTTATTGGGGGCGCAAAACCGTAAGAAATCAAGGAAGTTACTGGGGGTGCAAAACTGTACGAAATCAAAAGGAAAAAACAAACCGGAAGAGATCAAAATGTATAAAAAAGTCAACATGGAATGATTATGGAAGGATTATGGATAAAGACTGGTTCTTCTTCTCTATACAAAGAAGGAATCTCAAAACATATTTATGCGGTGCCAATTACTCCTTATTAACTGATAAGGTTAATGACAATTAACAATTATATAAATATTTCTAATAAAACAAAACTTAAATATATATATATATATATATATAAATATTTAAATAAAAATATAACTGCTCCAACATATATTCTCACAAATTTGTGCCCCAACCATAACAAGGTTCACCAATGGTTGAGCATCTGGCTGCGCCCTACCACTTTCTCTTGTATTTGATTTTCAATCCTCGTTTCTTTTCGGCATATTGTCCTCTTTCCGAGCACAAGTAGGGCGGCGGGCGTGGCCTCCTCGGATGCTGGAAGCCAATTTTATATGCCACTATGCATATAAATTATTCTTTTAATATTTATTACGATTATTGCTAATTATTATTAGAGTCATTCCTGCATCATATGGAGAATATACATATTTTATTAGAGTCATAAATTGTTCAATTTTTTAATCTTTATTTAAAGAATATTCTTAAAAAAAAAATCATTTGAAATAGATCATTTAATCACTACAACGGGTCATATAAATAAACTGTTATTCATGATATGCTACTAGTATTAACATTGTTGGTTTGTTTCATACATTTGGATGCATAAATGATCTTTAATTTGAATAATTTAAAAAAAAACCATTAAAAGTTAAACTGTTATGATTATAAAATTTACACAGTAAAAATTTATAATTCACAATGAGTAGCATATGTGCATTCTTCTTATTAGGAATGAAAGTATTATCCATTATAATATTTGGTAGGCATGGGTATTTCTTTTTTTTCTTTTTTTTTTTTGAAGGAAACGATAGTGTGTTTCATTCATATTGTAACATCCCACATCGCCCAAGGGAGTGGATCTTGTAAGCCTTATATTATATTCTCATCTCTACCTAGCATGAGGCATTTTGGGAGTTCACTGGCTTCGGGTTCCATCATAACTCCGAAGTTAAGCGAGTTTGCGCGAGAGCAATCCCATGATGGGTAACCCACTGGGAAGTTCTCGTGTGAGTTCTCAAAAACAAAACCGTGAGGGCATTGTCGGAGCCCAAAACAGACAATATCGTACTACGGCGAAGTCAAGCTCGGTATGTTGGTGGGGGTTCGGGCCGGGATGTGACACATATCAATGTAGACAGTGCAACACAAAGGATTACATAGTAGAGGGACAATCTATAGCTAGTATATCAATGATAATACTAGGGGTAGACCCCATCCATTCAATGCACTGATCTACAGTGAGACCGAGACGAGCTAGTCTATAGGCCACACCATTAGCTTGACGACAAACATGGGTGATAGGAGCTTCAGTGACTGCCGGAGCAAGCAACTTGATGTCTTCGATTAGTTGTCCAAATGACGAGAAGTTAACCCAAGGATCCCGCGAAGCCTAAACAATTTGAAGCGAATCGAAGTCACATAGGATATTAGAAAAACCCAATTCGAACGCCCAAATCAAACCAATTCTAACAACCACAGCTTCTGACTGGAGTGGTGAGAAAACATCAGAGAAGCTCTCGCACTTGCAGCCAAAAAGCCTTATGTTGCATTTTGCATTATTAAGCCATAACCCCTAGAGCACTTTTCACTGTTTTAGGAGCCGTCAATGTTGTGTTTAAGACGTCCTGATGAAAGGCAGCACCATTTTGACGGAGCTTGAAAGAGAGAGCTAGGAGACGTTCTTTCATTGGCTGACACAAAAGATTGCCACAATTGAGTTGCTCTTGCCACAATAACATTCAGAGAATCACATTTTTTATTCTAGAGCTTTTCATTCCTGGTGCCCCAAAGCACCTAACATATCATCATGAAGGATTCAAAAAGGAAGGTTTGATAAGCTTCGCGATTTCCATGGCCCAAAAGAGGAAGAATTGGGGGAAGGATCCTTGTAACAAATAACCAAAGTGAGAAGATAACCAAGCACATTTAACAAACGGGCAATTCTTCAGTAAGTGGAGGATTGATTCCTCAGGGTGGTTGCACATCCTGCACAACAGATCAGTCGTGATATGGCACTTAGTAAGGTTCACTTTACTAGGGAAGATGTTGTTGCAGAGATGCCATAAGAAAACTCTGACCTTTTGGAGGCACATTGGCACGCCAAACCTTGACCAAAAGATGGATCTACGGTTAGGATTGGAGGAGGAGAAGGATCCCAAGCTACGCGGATATAACCACTCTCTTGCGAGGTGGTAGACACTCCTCACCGTAAATCTTCTAACATTCTCATAGTGCCAGGTTAGTAGATCAACGGAGGTGTGGAAACTTAGTGGGATAGCCTGAATGGCATTGACTTCCAACTTGGAGAGTAGGGAAGACACTAAAACTTCCACGATCTAGAGTTGGGGCCAATCAGTTCGTTGACTGTCTAGAGAGGCGAGGTATCCATCTTGGGAGTAAAAATTCGAAAACGAGCTGGCAAAGGAATCCATGGATCCTCCCATATTTTCAGCAAAGCGCCACTACTCACTTGCCTACTAGATCCTAGGGATATTATATTCTGAGTTGCATAAATGTTCTTCCAAAAGTAGGACGCATCGGCTTTCACCGAGGCCTCGAGGAAGGTGACGCTGGGAAAGTACTTAGCTTTTAGAACCCTCGAAACCAGAGAGTTAGGATCCATGAGAATCCTCCATCCTTGTTTAGCCAGAAGGCTGAGATTGAATGCATAGAGATTTTGCAAGCGCAAGCCACTGTCAACTTTCGGAATGCATAGTTTCTCCCATGAAAGCCAATGAATTATTTTCCTTCCCTCAATATTGTTCCACCGAAAGGAGGCAATTAATCGATTTAAGTCCTCACAATAGTACTTAGGCAGAAGATAGCAGTTCATAGTGTATAATGGAATGGCAAGTGCAACGGACTTGATAAGTAGTTATTTACCAGGAGCACTTAAAATCTTCCTTTTCTAGCTTTAAAGCCTCTTCCAAAGGCGCTCTTTGATGTATGCAAAACAATGACCTTTGTTTCTTCCTACAAAGGTCGGCATGCCTAGATACATAGTGTGACGGTTAACCCCTATGTATATCTAATAGGTCAGCTCAATTATATCACAGAAGGTGTTTGATATTATGACTAAAATAGACCTCACTCTTTTCAAGATTAACTTTCTGACTCGATGCACGTCCATAGGAAGTGAGAATCTCAGAAATCTGATGGCATTTAGCCACGTTAGCCCGACAAAATAGAAGGCTATCATCTGTGAATAGCAGGTGATTCACACTTGGGGCACCAGGGCACATAGAAACCCCCTGTATTTTTCCTTCTGCCTCCGTTTTGGCAATAAGGGCAGACATGCCTTCCGCGCAACGTAGGAATAGATAGGGAGAAATGGGGTGACCCTGTCGAATCCCACGAGAGGGGAGAAGATAGCCTCTAGGACGTTCGTTGATAACAAACGAGTAAGAGACCGAGCAAACGAATTCCATCACCAGGGCAATCCATTTTGGCAAGAACCGCATACAAATTAGAATACAGCAAAGGTAATTCCATTCAATTATATCGTATGCCTTGCTAATGTCCAACTTTAAAGATAAGAAACCCTTTTTTCCCCCGACGGCGCTTAGAGAGGAAATGGGAGATCTCTGAAGCTAGTAAAGAGTTATATGAGATAAGTCTAATCGGAATGAACGTGCTTTGTGCAAGTGAGATCCCTTGTAGCTGATTTGCCATAACCTTGGAGGCAATCTTTAATAAAACGTTGCAGAGACTTATATGCCTGAACTGAGTAATATTTTTGGGAGCTTTCACTTTGGGGATGAGGCAAACATGGGTGTCATTTATCTGCTTTAGTAATCTACTAAAGTGCAAGAGGCATTGGATAACGACTATCACATCCGGTCCAATGGTAGACCAAAATCGTTACAAGAATAAAAGAGACATTTCATCAAGGCTCGACACCGTGGAGGGATGCATATTGAACAAAGTCACCCGAACTTCTTCAGTCAACATAGGCATCTCCAAGTTGAGGTTCAATGCCCCTATCATCAGTACACCATGTTCCATTCTTGTCAGACAACCCTTTGATAAAGTTTTTGGACTTGCAGTTTTTAGCCCACTAATGAAAGAATCTGGTGTTCATATCCCATTGTTGTAGCCATAGGGACTGAGACCTTTTATCTCCTTGTTTCGCCTCTTAAAAACTACATGCTGCCACTTAAGAAGGGCAACCCTAGTGACCTTGATTTTGTGGACAACCTGGAACATAGGCACCCTGACCACAGGGTAATTCAACACTTCCCTTATAACATTCTCACACTCCTCATGTGAGGTCCAAACTTCCTTGAAGCAGAATCTATGTCGACATTTTCTCCTGTAAACAGGCTCCCCATCCATGGAGAGGATAGTAGGAATATGATCAGATTTAGTGGGATCCAAATGGTGTACCGTGGCATTGCCGAACAAAGAAATTCATAGCGAGGAGGCCGAAACACAATCTAATCGCTGCTTTATACCTCTCAAACGCGTGGTTATCTAGGTGAATTGATTCCCAGAAAAACCAAGGTCCCGAAGATTGTAATCTGATACCGCCGACTTGAAATCAAGAATCTGGTTGATTGGCCGGGTTGGGCCGCCCTCCTTTTCATTGACGTTAAGGAGCTCGTTGAAATCTTCTCCCACAACCCAAAGAAGGGAGCGAAATGATGCTAATGAGCGAAGAAGATTCCAAGTGATTGACCGATCAGTCGTTGCAGGGTTGCTATCAAAACTAAAGAATCTCCAATGAAGGGGGTCACTGCTACTCCCAATCCCCGAATCGATGTGATTATCCAAAGTGAAAAGCACTTTTAAATTAGTGTTAGAGTACCAGAGTAAGCAAAGGCCTCCCGTGCTACCCCGAGACTCGACACCTAAAGATTTATCAAAACCTAGTTTGAATTTCAGAGATGAAATAAAAGAACTTGATGATTTGGTTTCACAAAGGAAAACCAAGTTAGGATCTTGCTACCTGATGATACCTTGCAGCGCCTAAACCTTTCAGGGGTTCCCAAGCCCTTAATAGTTCCAAAATAGGATTGTCATGGCTGACGGCACAATTGCACCCTGTCAACCATTGCCGATGAAATGGAGGACGCACGCCTGTTCCTGCCTAGCAAGCCCCATTCCTTAGCCTCTTCCATCTCCTTGGATGGGCTAATAATAACCTCGCATTAATTATCAAAATCTGAATTTTCACCTTCATGTACCGCCCTTGGATGATGAGAGCCACTGCCTAAACATCCACCACTTCTAGTTTTGCATCCATGGTAGTTTAGATTTGAAAGGTGAAAGGGGCGGCCTATTTTTGGGTTGAAAGAAAGTCAAGCTTTTTTGGCCCGGGGAGAGACCAGAATCGACTCCCTATTCCCACCGTTGGATTGCTCAACCAACTTGGATGCTTGTTTAAGTTCAGAGTCATTGATGCATAATAAATTCGGGCCAAGTGGAAAACAATCTTGGCCTGAAAACTTAGTAGGATTGGCCCGAACATGATCCGAAGCCAACAAGAGCCTATCCACATCCTTAAAGCCCATGGAGAAAGCATATTGGGGTCACACCAATTTTTCTCTAGAGAAAACCGATTAACAACAATGGACAAGGTGCCATTGGAGAACAGGGTTTCGTAACTATCTAGGTGCCACATGTGATTATAGTCTAGGTGCAAATTGGATCGTGTGGTTAGAGAGGACATGTGCTCTACTCCAACAAACCAGATGAATCGTGGGGAGGGGGCAACATGTCAGCAGTCGCAGAGTTGGCAGGACTGATGGCCAGCAGATTGTCGATGTACCCAACCAGTACAGACTTATCTCGTCTGGCCCACCAAGCTAGGAAACTAGTTGCCAGAATGTCCATATCGTTGTCCGGCAAGCTATAGAAACCTTCATCATCGATTTCCCATTTACGTCTTCAGTGGCATACGTTGGCACTGGACCTGGTGATAAGCCTCAAAGTAGGAAACAGGAGTGAGCTAGCTCGAGAAGCACCTTCAGCACGTAACGATTAGTTGAACCGGCTCTCGCCAGACAGCAAAGGGAGCGTTGTATGAGGACATCCACTTGAGTGGCCCAGCCAGTTGCACTTGTAGCTGAAAATCCTGAGACCTTCATATCGCAGTTGGATGGTATATTACCTAAGCTTAGGACACAGCACAGAGAAGCTAGTGAGTAGAGGTTTAGAGGTATTGAAATCAACTCTCAATCAAAGAAACCCCCTGAACCCAGCCTCCAGAGGGTCCTTAACCTCTAAAGCTGCCCCTATCTTGAACCCCAGGCTTCTAGCATTCTTCATAGTGCAGTAGTTCTTTGGAATGCCTTGCGCCTGGACCTAATTAATAGCCCGATTAGCTTTGATGTCATCAAGAGAGTGAAATGATGCCATAATTTCACAGAGAAAGTGTAGTCCCTAATGAACCAGGGGTTTCCTTCCAAAAGCCTCATGGTGACAGCCTTTTCCCTAACCATGATAGCATATATGTTGGCTTTCGCACGAAGAATCCGAACAACCCTCATCTTTTCCAACCACAATTTGGGATGGTTCATGGTCAGCAATGAGTCTACCCACAAGATGTATGGTGTTATCAAACCTTTCCTCAAGGTCAAGACTATCTTCAAGGGTAATGTTCAAGCAATCAAGTTCTTCCTCTCCCACGCTCGTGATGAAACACATGAGAAGCTTGCACACAGCCCAGGAAATGAAGTAACTTTTGCTTACAAGTCATCTTGGAAACAAATCCAGAAATGATACCAAATCAGCACAGAGGCTGCACTAAATTAATCCCAAGAGTTACGGGAAGATGCCATCTTTCTCATAATCTTTCAACGTTTGTTAAAAGAAATAAAAAATAAATAAATAAAGAAGATTGATAAATGGGCGTGCGATACGGACCTTTCACTTGTGTAGTTGAATATATGGGAGAGGAAATTTCCTTCAAGTTTCCCTTCAATTATATATAGTTTAGCTTTGTATCTACCCTCCAACTGCAAGTGGGGAAACCACTGACTTTTGTCATATATGAACATACAATATTTTTCTCTGTCTATGTTGTTTTGGCGGGCTCCTCTACACCTGAAAGTGAGTACGGAGCGGAGGCCACCACATTATAGACTCCACTATTACTAGTCTTGCCGATCAAGACTACTTTTTCCACGGCCCTCCATCGGGTCTTATTATGAAAAAGAAAAAAATAACTGCAAAAATATTACTCCTGCAACTTATTTGTATTATTATTTTTATTATCTCTTTAATAGCGATGAAACTCATATGCATTGGCAGACCTTACCTTTATTAGTGATGGTACAAATGATGATACAAATAAGTGGTATGTGTATCATTACTAAAAGAAATTGTGCTAATTATATAATTTAATCATTTTCAATTTATTCGATCCGATAGCCGAAAATTGATAAAAGTATGTTGGAAATAAAAAAAAGAGTGGATTGTAACACCTAAAAAACCCATGCATGGAGTGACGGTAGCCACATATTAAGTCTTGAAAGAATCTTCCCAAGTGGGCGTACGAGTACTGTGGTGGCGTCTTTCGGCTTGAATTTCAATACTCTATATATACAAATTCTTCAATTTTCAACAAACCCCGGTAACTGATAAGCTGTCAATATATATACACAGGCACAGATAAGACTTCTTTCTCCCTCTAAACTACTTTCCACTAAGCCAAGCAAGAGATGAGTAGCGCTGTTGCGTGTAATTAGCTCCACTTGGGTCGGTGCTGGAAATCTGTAAGTAATATTTCTATAAATACATATAATATCAATCCATAAATTCTTCTCCAGTTCTCCTTGTTCTTTTCTTTTTATTTAGTCTGCTGGCTCTTTTTTTCTTCTTTTAGTTTTCGGAAAAAATGATAAAAGCTCTCACACTCTTAATGTTTGTTGGTTCAACAAAATTTCCATGAGTATATTGAGTTCAAGCTTTCGCTTATCAAAATTAATAATAATGATCTTAAACAAAAATAATCAAAATATTACTTGCATGATATTTTTTTTTCCAACAAAACCAAACAAATATCATCGTGCAAGTAAGATCGCTATTTTTATTTAATTTCCGTACACTCTTTATTTTTTTGTAATCCAGTACCTTAAATAATCATATATATATATATATGTGTGTGTGTGTGTGACTTGAATACATCATTAGTTCTTCTTTTTATTTGCCAGTCCTGTTGTAAACTGTAACTTGTAAGAATAATAGGCAAAGGTTTAATTAGTGGTATTTTTAAGTGAGAAATTTTGAGTTCAAATATTGTGGATAACGAGTTTGATATATTCTATCACATCTTTGTGTAAATATATGGTTGTATAAAAAATTGACATAATTGTTTCTCACACTATGCTAATGTCAATATAAAAAAGGGTAAATTACATGTTACCCAATTTATGCCACGTGGCAAAAAAAAATATTTTATGCCCAAAAAACCTAGATTATTTGTATGAAACCTACAAAAAAAAAAAAAAATTCCACTTGTGCTTGGAGAGAAGGGCCGACATTCCCCAGTTGTTGACGGCACAAACAATGATGGTGGTGCGGTCATGATGTTGGTGGTAAGGTGGGTGAGGGTGAGGTAGTGGTTGAAGGTCGAGAACTGGGAATTTTTGGTTTTGGATTTGGGGATTTTGGGGGGTTTGGGGTTCGAGAGAGAGAGTGAGGAGAGTGGAGAAGGGTCAGCGTGTGATGTTGTGCACTTTGGTGAGGGTGGTGAGGAGTGTGAGCATGAGGGGGATTATGGGTTGGGTGTGTGCTCGGGTGGGGAGAAGGGGTGAGGAAGACGAACTGGGTTTTGGTTTGTTTTTTTTTTTTTTTGTTTGCTTTTTTAAATTAATTAATTTAAATTTTAACTTTTTTATTAAGTGTTTAGCCACGTGGCACAAATGTGGTTGCCACATCAGTACAAATGGGGACCCCTTATTTGTCACGTCATCACTTAACAGTTTACTTAACATATTTTCTAACGGATGTATTATATTGAAATAAAATAGTACTTGAGATATGAAAGTGAAATGTTTTGATGATGTTGTAAGAAATTGATATCGACCCCAAACCTGAGGGGGTAAAATGTAATTTACCCTATAAAAAATGTAAATCAAATATCTCGTATTATTGGCTCTCTCGCTATTTAACTTGTAGCTTAATGCTTTAGAAACGTGCTACAGTATAAAATACTTGCTAATTCAGGTTTTTCTGTGTAGATATAATAATTTACAGGGGTTTACGTTAATTCCCACAAGTTCAATTAGGAAAAATGTCTATTCCACGAGCACAAGGTATACCAGCTCCAGCTGGGATTCAAATGGCGGCAGTAAATGGCATTCCGGTTGCTGAAAATGTCATCATCGGCATTCCCGCTTCTACAGAAACTGTCCATCAACTGAACCATCCTTCATGTCATCTACTAGAAGGGACCAACAGTACGTTCGATGTTTCTCTTTCATGCACATCCCATGCATATATGATTTTTTTTCTTATGAAGAGATGCAAGTATTATCCTATATATATGATTAGTACACATATATATTATCCCGGAAATATGGCACAAGCACCAAGGCCGGTCATGAGAGTATTGAGGCCCTGAGGAGACACCAAAAAATATGCCCTAAGTCTATATAATAAAAATTATTTGTTTTCAAACAAGATTTTGATAAATAACTTAGAAAAACACTTTAAATTCAACAATTTAGAAATACAAAATAACCAATTTATTTTGTATTTGAGAGAAAGGAACCATAAAACTCCGGCTTACAAGTAGATATTTTCCCTTTAACTGAAACTTTGAAGTGCTTTTATATAAATTGTGAGGTGTTTTTTCTTATTTACTTACCTCGTCAATATACGACCGAAAAAACATGTCATATTTTCAAACACTTGTTAAATGGTGAAGGAAAATGCATGAAAGGAAAAGCAAAAAGGTGCCTTGCATTGCTTCCAAACAGAATATCGTAAAAAAATTGGAAAGAAAAATGAACACCATTGAGTTTCAAACACGACAACTTCTTGTTAATAGTAAGAAGCGAAAAACCCGTGCTTCTGCTTAAAGTTCTTGTTCGTTTAGCCAAATTTTTAGAATTTATACACTAATAAAAGTATGTCTGAATATACTACCCTAACAATTTTTTATGCCCCTTGAGTTTTGAGACACCGATTGCCCAGCTAGCCCTGAGCCAGTGCCGGTCATGACAAGCACAACCGTTGTACTTGCATGTTGGTTAATTAAAGTGGCAAAACAATCAGCAAAATTATTTGGCCTGCTATTATCTAATAATACAGAGGTAGGGTAAGTTACATGCAGTATCATGTGATCGTAGCTACTGCTTGAAATTGTGAAGATCAAAATATGGAGTAGAGGAAACAGGGTGTGAAGAGAGCAAGTGGTGGTAAAGCTAACTGTAATAAACAGTTTATCACTACGTTATCCTAATATTTATTAAAGATTTAGGATATTTTTAAACTTCTTCAATGTGTAAAGTACATAAATTAACGTCATTTTACTATTTTACGGTTTTTTTTCCGTATATAACACGAGAAATTTACATTAATAAGGATTTGAAAAATAAATTGATTTCCAACACACTATCCACAATATTCAAATCAGAACCTCTTGTGCACCTATAAGTAAAGAGAAATCTTTTAGACTATAGTACTAAATGTCACCATTTTGCGTTAACAAAGAATTATATCGAAACTATAATACCATGTATATTAGTGTTGATAATAATTGCTCCGCCACATGTGTGCACCTAGTATTTTGAACACTTATGATTAATGTATTTTCACTGTACAAACATAATAATAACAAATGTTTATTTTCCTCATCATTATTAAAATATCTTCTTCGTAAAAAAGAAAAACAAGATTTGGAGTTTATTTTGCCACATTCATATGTATTGAACAAATCGATGGGTTTGATAACAAGTAACCTCCTAAGTAGGATGATAAACTGTCCATTTATTTGATGTAAAATGGATCTTTAGATAATGCGAAAGAAAATAGTTACAATTATAGCATTCCTACTGTCAAAATAAGCTAATAATAACAAGTGAAATGGGCACAAATAACCTAGTGTGTGTGTGTGTGTGTGTGTGTATTACATTCAACAAAGCAATCATACGCTCAATCTAACTTCATCCCTTTCATCCAACACAGGAGAGGCCTACTTGAACTTGTGTATGCCCCTCTACAAAGCTGCAATGAAAGGTGACTGGCATACCACCAAAGGCATATTAAATAACAACCGAACACTCTTAACTGCTAGCATAACAAAAGGAAGGGAAACTGTTCTTCACGTTGCAGCAGGAGTAAAGAACAATATTAAATTTGTAGAGGAACTAGTCAAAATGATGGATGAAGAAGACTTGGCACTTCAAGACATTAAAGGAAATACGGCACTGAGCTTTGCTGCTACAACTGGAACTGTAGAAATTGCCGAGATTTTGATACAAAAAAATAGGTCCTTGCCAACAATTCCAGGTGGTCAAGGAATGACACCACTCTATGTGGCTGCTTTGTTTGGACAGTCTAAAATGGCGTGGCATTTATACCATAAAACATATGAAACGTTGGATGAAAAGAGCCGCAGATTTCTATTCTTCTGTTGTATCGATCATGATCTTTATGGTAAATACTTGGAACTTGTTAAACATTAAACACATCTTTATTTCTTGACTACTCTTCTTTTAAACATTATTAGCATTCTTTCCAACCTCCTCCTCTTCTTTTAATCTTTTTGTTTTGTGCAGATTTAGCCCTGAGGTTACTACAAGATGATAGAACATTAGCAACGGCTCGCAAAGGCAGCGGTGAAACGGCCTTGCATGTCTTAGCTCGAAAGTCTTTAGAATTTGGTGACCAAAGTACTCCTGGAATGTGCAGTAGACTTATGAACGCATGTGAGTCAATTCCTCTGAAATTATAATATCAAACTTTGATAAGTTATATAAAAATAAACTTTCCGTACTATGGTGTTTGATCATCCCACATTAGTATGAAATTTGCCTGTTCTTGTTAATATCAACCTTGTTGTTTATGTTGTAAATTTTTAATTTACAGGGAAAGTACTCCTAGACATGAAGGTTTCTTCCAAAAGAAACTTGAAGCAAACTGAAGCCCTGAAACTGGTCAAATACCTTTGGGAAGAAATGTTGAAACATGACGATGACGAAGTCATGCGTCTGATAAGAGGGCCTTCAAAATTAGTCTTTGATGCAGTGAAATTAGGAAATTATGAATTCTTGTCCGTGCTTATTGACTCTTATCCAGAGTTGGTATGGGAATATGACGACAACAATCGGACTATATTCCATATTGCAGTCTTGCATCGTCATGCGAGTATCTTCAATCTAGTGCATGAGACAGGCTCCATCAAAGATATCATAGCAACATATATTGACAATGAGAAAAACAACATTCTACATCAAGCTGCAAAATTGGCACCTCAAGACCAACTCAATCTTGTGTCTGGAGCGGCTCTTCAAATGCAACGAGAATTAGTATGGTTTGAGGTATGATTAAATATTATTTCATAATCAACTTTAATCGCCTAGAAATTCCTTGCATTCTTTAATTTCGTTATCAATCATTGATGTGGCAGGAAGTCGAGAAGATTGTGCAACCTCCCTTCATAGACATGAAAAATAACCAAGACAAAACACCTCGAGAATTATTCACTAGCGAGCATAAGGATCTATTGCGCAAGGGAGAATCATGGATGAAGAACACTGCAAATTCTTGTATGCTTGTTTCAACTATTATCGCCACTGTAGTGTTTTCAGCCGCATTTAGCATTCCAGGGGGTATATCTGATAATAAAGGAACACCAAATTTCGTAAAAGATACAGCATTTCTAATCTTCACCATATCTGATGGAGTAGCACTCTTTTCCTCATCAACTGCAATCCTCATGTTTTTGTACATCCTTACATCGCGGTATGCTGAAAATGACTTTCTCAAATCCTTACCGTTAAAGTTGATGATTGGACTCACATCACTCTTCGTATCTATAACATCGATGATGGTAGCTTTCAGTACAGCATTCTATTTATCTTGTCATTATGAATTAAGATGGGTTCCGGATCTTATATTTATATTTTCATTTGTCCCAGTTGCCTTGTTCGCTTTCTTGCAGTATCCTCTCTTGTCTGACATGTTCTTTTCAACATACCGTTCAAGTCTTCTGTTTCAGCCAAGGAGGGATATGATTTACTACAAAGTCGAGGGCTAGTGATACCTTGACTCCACAATGATGTGTATATATGTATTGCTCAAAAGTGCATGTTTAATGTGCTTTTATTATACCGTTAAATGTTTTTCTCTAGTAATTTATCGAATTTGTGCTTTATTATGTATAACTGGTCACATAGGTTTTATATCCATTTTGCTTAATTTTAACTAATGTTATACTAATTTTAATGAGCAAGACCATGAGAATGATGCAAGGTGATTAAAGGATGAGGCACAAGATAATAAATTAGTGTTTAAACCTTTGTGGGTTACGGAAAGGAAATGAAGCAAAGAAAGAAAAAAAATAAACGGATGGAGTTATGCTTGGCATTAATGTATGAATAATGGATTGATCAATGAGCATTATTCAAGAAGGATATAAAGAGAAGAAGTTTAATTAGAAGCAATAGTTTTGATGTATTAAAAAAAAGGATTAAGTACCTAAAACCCCCCGAACCTTTTAGTGTCATTCCAAATTGGTCTGTACCTTTTTGATCATTCCAATTAAGTACCCAACCTATTGAAAATGTCAAATCCGTTAAGTTCCAATTAAAATCTATTAAATTAACTAGGGATTCTTTGTCTCCAAAATCAATAAAAGGTCATAAAAGTGTAGCCTCTATCAGCAAAGAGTCATCACCAACCCCATCATTGCCATCACCTTCAATAACAATGAAAAACCACCAACTCCACCCTACAATTCAAGCCGCCAATATCGAGAAGAAGGTCATGGTGGTTGCTGAAATAGTATAGATTGCCATGTTGCAACCACCACTATCTTCACCTCCTACAAAGAAGAACTAAAAGCTTTACTAGCCAAGGATCAATGTATGAGTAAAATACAAAAGCATAAACAAGCTTCTTGAAACCCTATATGTTTTCCTAACCCTCTCATTTATTAGAAGATTGCTTTCCTGATGTAATTTCAATTTGGGTAGATTTTCGATTCAATTCAAAATTCGTTCATGATTGGGTTCCATATATTATATAATCTTTATATAATCTCCATTTGAAATTTAGATTTTAAGGCAACTCATATCAATGTTGACCATGATATGGTGGGTTTTGAATATAATCTATGTTTTAAAAATTTAATTGGGACTTAATGAATGTAACATTTTCAATAGGTTGGTTACTTGTTTGGAATGTTTAAAAAGATTGAGACCAATTTGGAATATCATTAAAAAGTTGGGGGGGTTTAGATTAGCTATAGTTGCAACTAAACCATACCCATTTTATGGAACCTAATGATCAAACGAGTTTTGAATTGAATCGAAAACGTACCCAAATTGAAAATACATTAGGAGGGCAATCTTCTAACAAGAGAGAAAGTTAAGAATTCAGATAAGGTTTCAAAAAGGTTGTTTCTGCTCATGTATTTTCATCATACACCGATCCTCGGCTTGTAAAACTTGTTGGAAATGTGCCCTAAAACCAATCATGTGATGATACTTTACGGACATTTCACATGTTAAACTAATCTAGTTTAATATCAAGGGCAAAGATTATTGTTTTAAGCCGTCTCATATAAATGTTATATGCTTAAACGATAAGTCCAAGGAATATGTAATTAGGATAATGTAATTTAAACAAGTTAGATTCATGAGACCATTCTTTTTCGTAGACACATCCTAAACGTTCCTGATCATAGGATTGCCAATTGGGCATTGACAGTCCGTTAAGATCAGTACGTGCTATGTCTTCTCTCAGGGAGAGTGACTAGTCTCGAGTCATTGGTGTGACTGTGACATCAAGACAAGTACGTAGGTGCTCAATAGAGAATGAGTTCACTGAACACGATCAACGAAGAGTTCTCATACTCATGTCACATGAGAACTCATGGTTGGGATAATGCAAAGTAGTCCTTTGACTTGAGGTATCATAGTTGTCTTGTGGTTAAGTCCTTGATCTTTGATTATGTCAAAGTCACTCCATTCGGGGTGTCCACGGCATCGTTGGGGTTAAGCCACTTAGCCATGGAGGCAAGTGAATGCGCAACAAGGGATCTCTAACCTTCAAACCGTTTGAGGGAGAATACTCTATGATATGATTAAGAATCTCTGGCCAGAGTATGAATGAGATTTAGGAAGTCGTTCCAAATCACATTCAAGGTAATCATATAAGCAAATGAATCACATTGGATAGTAGACATGAATAAACTATCAAACCAAACAATGTGGTCAAGAGTATTGTATTAGAGAAAGACCGTATTGCATTTGTAATCCTAAACTGAATAGGTTCTCCACCTCTTCTGATTAGCTTGGGTAACCATGATATGCTGCTAGGTGTCACTCATGGTTTGTGGAAGCCCTAAACGTGTATAATCACTAAAGGGAGAATTGAAAGTAAGTTTCAATTCACAATCGATTTGAAAGAGTTTTAATCGCCCACTGCCTCGCTAAAAGGAACCTAATGGATCGTACACCGTGTAAGGTAGGAGATTGAAGAAACAACGGAGATGAGTAAGAATAATTAAATGGTTTAATTATTTATGGCAAGGATTAATTAATATGTTAATTAATCAAACGAATAAAGTTCGTTAAAAGACCTCGGGATAGTTTTGGACCTTAAGGCCCAATGGGCTTCGAACGTCAAGCCCATTGACTTAAGTTGTATGACAACTTAATGAATAATAATTCACAAAGGCCCAAAAGCCCAATGAAACCCCTATGGCCGGCCATTTTGTTAAAGGAGTGGGTTTTGGACTTAAATTACAAGTTTGCCACTCCAATGAATAAAGGTATATAATATGACTTTATAGCCAAAATTCATTTAGGGTTTCTTTTGGAGAAAAGGATGAGAAACAAACTCTCCATTTTCTCTCTAAAGAGGCCGGCCACCTTGGAGGGATTAGCTAGCAATCCTTTCTCCTCCAAGGTCACTCATTTCTTCTTCACATCTTACCTTGGTGTGGAGACTTAGAGGTTCTCAATTTTGGGAACTTGGAGAAACCTATTCTTCCATCCAAATCCATGGATCTAAGAAGCAAGGAATGAAGGCCCTATCTCTTGGGTGATTAGCCTTTGCTTATGCAAAGAGGAATCTACAAAGGTATAATTTCTCAACTCACTTTGTTTTGAGTTGAGTCTTTGGTTCACCCAATCTACTAGGCTTTGAATTTCATGGGTAATGTTTTGTTTTTAAGTGCATACAAGCATGATTCCGCCTTTTAATTGTTAATTGCATGCTATATGATGTTGCTTAAATGAACATGTTTTTCACAAAATTTCCTTCAAGTGGTATCAGAGCCTAGGTCTAGTAGTTGGTGAATCCTTTTGGGTTTTGTAGTTCATAGTTTATGATTTAAAAGTTGTAATTGTTACAAGCTTTATTCTTGCTTCTTTGAATGTAAATTTTGTTAGAAAATTTGCCATCTCAAATGTTGTAGATGTAGTTCATATGAGCATGAATATTAGAGCTAAAATTTGGTGCCATGTTTTTTGGGAATTTTCGGCCAAATCCAAAGGGTGGATTTTTGGGTTCTTGTTTGACTTGTTAAAAGTGTTTTCAAGTAACTTTTGGAACCCCTATGTACCCTAGTTTGGTTATATGTTATTTCCCTTAAGTTTGAGTGGTTTTGGGATGTTTTGGGTGAAAAATGTTCATGGAGAATTTTTTGAGTTTTTCATGAATGTTCTTTATTGTTCTTGATATTTTAGCCAAGAACAAAAAGGTTTGGTGTTTTGATTCAAAGTTTTGATTTATTTCATAAAGTTTTTGTTTTGTGTTTTTTCAAATGTTTAAATGTATTAGATATTTATTTTGAAAGGTGAAAGAAATATTGGTGGATGTGTAAGGATTAATTCTCTTTCACACACACCACTTGCATGACATTTATGTCATGCACCACTTGCATGACTTTATGTCATGCACCACTTGCATGACTTTATGTCTAAAACTACAAATCAACACACACATCACTCCCTTCTCTCCAAAACCGGCCACCCTACAAGTGGGGTACTTTTGGGGCTTTTATGCAATTACATAAAGTTTTGATACTTTTGTGTATTTGCACTTTGACCCAAAAGTTTACGTTTTTACGTTAAGGCCCAAAAACGCTAAAGGACAAATTGTTTTGCTCCTTTAATGAAGTTTTTGCAATTTGTTTAAATTTTTGGGTTCTAGTTGTATTACATGAAGTAGTGGACTTTTGTGTTTTTACAAAGTGACCCCAAAAGTTTAAGTTTTTGCAATATAGCCCAAAAAGTTGAGGTTATTGCATTTGGCCCAAATTAGGTTGAGAACAAAATTGTTTTGTCTCTTTAAATGAGAATTGGATTTTCATTTCATTTAGCTCCATTTAAATCAATTTTATGGATACAAAAACCAAATGAAAATGTTGCATTCAATTTAATTAGTTAAAGCGTTAATTAATTAAAGGGTGATTATGAACCTAAGCCTAATATAATTGAGCTATGTGAAAGGCCGTTTCAAATTTGTTTGAACCATGGGAATGTGTAGATTAGATTTTGGTTGTAATTTGATTTGATCAAATGTTGTAAAAGAGGCATAAGCTCTTCTTTACTTTAAAGTAATTTGTTTTATGCAAATGTTGTAATGAGCATAAGCTCACCTTTACTTTGAAGTACTTCTTTTCTTGCTTTATTTGATATGCATGAAAATGAAGTAGTTGGGTCCAACGCCCCTAAGACAACACGCCTTAATGTGATTAAACGCGTAACTAAAATCAATCACCATCCCTAGACCGAGATTCAACACAAGGCTCGTGTTGAATCTAAACAAAGGTTCATAGTCATCCTAAGGCCCTAAGGCAACTATATAGTCCATCAAATGAATGCAAACCTTTTATGTTAGTAGTATCATATACTCTTGCTTTAAAAAACCGTTTTATAAGCATAGTGGGAGTATTATATACAACTAAAACAATCAAATGGACCAATAGTTGTAATAGGACCAAAATTGTTTTAATAGAGATTAAAATGTATGTTTATATGTGATGAGACCTAAAACCCTCAACCAAACCATTATTAAGTTGATAAGCGTGAGAGTGCTTTGAACATCTCTTCGTGGCCTTCCACCGTGGTGGGCTTCCAATCGTTTGTGACTCATACACCGTATTCGTCCAGTTCTGGGGTATGCAAAGTATGTGCTTACATTCAGGAGA